ATTATAATGACAACCTAATGCCACTGGGAAAAATTATGTGTTAGCCTAGGTCTTCTTGACTCTGACCAGCAATCTCTAGTCTTTTTTCTTTTTGTAGGATAGTATCAAACACGTGGTTTATGAACCATAAATAACAAAGCAATTGTTTTTCACACACCCCAAAATAATAAGACTTTATGAAATGTAGAGGGCTGGGTTGAGAAAGGCATAATTTTGTTAATTTAATCAGGAAGCAAACAGTTAATCATTGATCATGAGTCACTGCATCAGAAACATCTGATACAAAAGTATCAGGAGCACTAGAGACTCACAGCTGTCTTATTCACTTCTGACACAGATAAAAATCAAAACTCAATGGAATAATTAAATACAGAGAAGGAAAGAAAAAATCTAGTAACTAGATGTGCTGCAGTACACCTGACACCCATGTTAATTATCTTTCTTTTAAGACAAAAGGTGTTAGTATACGAGGGGTTTTGTTTTTTCAAGTAAAATCCAGTATTCGGGTTTAATTGCAGTATTAGTGTATTGCAATACATAAGTGGGTTTAGGGTTGCAGTTTGGGAAACACTACAAAATTCACCATCAGTGACTGTTGGGGGCCCAATAATGAGCATCAGTGCAGATCCCTCGGGTCAGGACACTCTGTCTCAGCTCAGTTCTGCAGACAGTGTGTCCAGCTGCATCAAGGTGATGACCAGTCTCAGGGTTAAGGTCAGACTGGGAGAAAGAGACTTACAGAAGTTTGCTGGCGGGCCTTTTATTCTTTGATATGCATTCCTATTCTCTATTTTGCATTTTAAACAGTCTTTCACTCTAAGAAATGAGTGGATTGTTGCTGTTGTGATTTCTTCCTAAATTTCCCCCATGAAGATTGCAGTCAGTAGTCCTAAAACATCTCCCTACATTTATTACCCAACAGCCAACGGTTTTAGAAACATAAAATGGTAAAGCAAACTCTTCATGCCAAGATACAAAATCTTGTTGTTTTGCTGTAGGAAGTCACAATCTCTTATTTTAGGTCTTTTGAAAAGTGAGATTTTGGTGAGGGCTAAATGTACTTATTCAATTCATAAAGTACATTGTCAGTTCTATTTCAGACCCCATAATAGTAAATCTGGGGAAATGTTAGTTCGTGCATCACATACAACGTCCTTTTAAATCTCTATATATTTTCTCCAGTCTGACAATTTATAGCTTCAAGGGCTTATAAAATTCTTTCCCAAAGGTAACTAATTTTTAAATGACCAAAAGCTAACACTTCTCCAAGTAAGTTCAAACTTTTCACCTCATTCTGAAGTTAGAGAGAATTTACAGTTCTCATATGTGCTCTTAGGGAAGACAGCTGGAGGGCAGCTCAGCAGTGAAGCACAGGCCTGACATTCCTAAGGCTCTGCTCTCCACCCCAGGACCCTAGGGGAAAAGAAAGAAATAGCTTTTTAAAGCAGCTGGTCAGCGGTAGCCGCAGCCTATTGGCTGAATCTGGTCCATGATGTTCTTCAAGTTTGTGAGGCTACGTAAGGCTTTACACCCATAAGTACTGGAAAGAAAAGAAGGAAGAGAATACAGGAAGGGGAGGACAGTGTGGGGTGGCAAACTATGTAGACCATAAGCCCATACACTTTAAATACTTACTATCCTGCATTTTAATCTTTTTTTTTTTTTTTTTTTTTTTTTTTTTGTACCGGGGATTGAACTCATGACCTAGCGCTTGCCAGGCAGATGCTTATGCTGCTAAGGTAAATCCATGAGCCCTACTATCATCTATTTTATAGGAAAGCTTTTAGTTCCTCTCTTGCACTACTGGATTTTTTTGAACCAAAAATGGATTGTTTGCAAACTGGATTGTTTGAACCAAAAGCGATGCTTTGTGCATGTGGTGAAAGCTTTTCTGTTACTAGTCAGTGATATTTGGATTATTCTAAAATAAACATGAGTGACTTCTGCTATGTTTTAAAAAGTTCTAATTCTTTGCTATGTATTTGCAAAGTGTGTAGGATGATAACTCTGATAAATAGCACCATGGGCTGTTTACATTTAGCATTCTGTTATGCTATATCAATTTCCCTAAGCACAAAGTTTTGTAATTTCCATTAATATGTTGTAAACCATTGTTTCATAGTAAAATATACCCTTTCCTAAGCATATTTACAAATCAGTAAGTGATATTTAACAACAACATATATAGCACAGCAGTAGCTAAAATTGATTTTTAATCTTTCAGTGATAAATTTTGCTGGTGTTTTTACACATCTACACAACACTAATTATTGTATACGTTTTTTCTAAGTGAAAGGTATATTTTAAAGAGTTTTCTTTTATATGAAAAAGTTTCAGTTTCACTGAACGTTTCAACTTTTGATACACATTTCCAAATCTTAATGATTTATTAATAATCACCTGTGTGTCTTCATTCCTCCTTTTTCAGTCCCACATAAAATCTGCAAATGCTTTGGAAAGAGTCAAATTATATAAAAGTGGAAAAAAGAGCTGCTTTCAAGGCCAATAGTGTTTGTCAGTAAGCAAGTGTCCTAAAGTTACCAATCTTCCATTTCTTTTAGTAGAATAGGCCATTGAAATATTTGAATTACTTACATTAAAACTGAAGAATAGTTACTGATATTAAAGACCATAATAAAAATATATTTGGGAAAAATGCTAAAAACAATTAAGCATTGATAGCATTACAATTTCTGGAAATAAAAAAAATAGATAAAAATTAAAATATTCAGGCAAAATACACCACTGGATAAATAAGCCCAAGATCAACCATATGACAAAAATGTGACACGATAAAAATTACCAGACTTTAAATTCAATATTAAAATATTTGCTATCCAATTAAAAGTAAAGTGTGTTCTCCCTCAATCAGAAAAAAAAAAAAGACTTTTTATTTCTAGGTGAAATTTTTATTTTCCATTAAAATCAACGGAAGAACTTGTTACTTTGTCTCAGGTTTGTCTTTATTACATATTCAACATCCAATTACTTGACTTTTCTGAGCCTAATTTGCCAAAATAGCATTCCTACCAAATTTAAAATTTTCTGCAGGATATAAACAACACAAATTTAATGCGATCCTTTAAATAATAAAATGTTATATACATAGTACATGCTATTTTTATTAAATCTATTGTAATGACTCCTTCTATATTTCTTAAACTTTCCTAACACTATTATATCAAAAGAGACACTTTTATGCATATTTACAACTTTGTATTAAACAAAATGAATAGTACTATTCATTCTACTCTATACCATGTTTAAAACTTCAATTAAAGAAATGTCTTAAATCTCCAAATGAGTACTAAAAGCACAATCTAATGATACTGTGAATTGTGAGGCAAATACCATATTGCATACATCTGCTCATAAATTACAAATGAATGCTTTTTGGAGAGCTAAATTTACAGAAAACACTCGTGTTCTAAACATCTTAAAACCTTGATGGTGAAATCTCGTTGCAATATGGGTGGCTATTCCTAGTTATAATTTTCCTTCCTGTAATCTTTCAGTTCCTTGAAAATGAAGAAACAAGCAAGTAATCAAAAGGGTCACCGAGGTCCCATCCAGCAAACTGGACTTGGGTGCTCGGGAAGCCACCGTCACAGGTGTGCTCTCAACCTTCCCCTCCACGGCAGCAGAGTCAGCAGAGGCTGGCTCAGAAGACAGTTGCGTGCCCTGAGGTCTTTTCACTCAGACCAGGGAACACTGAGGTCGCAGGATATGACAAGCATCTTGATGCTCACTTCAGCACTTTGGCCCACATCACGATTCCTTTCTCTCGCCTATGCTGCTCCTTTGAAGCACCTGTCACCAGATTGCTCCATTTTCTCCACCGCTCCTATGCCAGCCCCACTCCCCTCACATTATAATATAAATACCAAGGGAATTGCCACTCTTGTGTCTGTTATACCTCATTATATCTCCAATGACTTGAACAGCATCTGTGCATGGAAAGTTCTCACTATTCACCTGAGTGGGTGAATTAGTGAGTGGATGAATACATGAATTAATGATTTGAGGTGCTAAAGTTACCATTTCAGTGCATGAATCACCCCACCCTCCCACAAGCCAGGGAATTATGTCTGCTACTTTAGAACCACGTGGATTAGGAGCAGAGTATTAAGACTGTCTCAAAGAAAACCTAGATGTTATTACTCAAGGAAAAGGTTACCAGCACTGGGCTCTGGAGTATTAACCCTGTGGCTGGAGCTTCTTCCTTGGGCCAGGCTTCCGCTCCTCTCCACTGTGTACTGTTCCTTCTCCATGTCCCTTCAAATTCACTGCACATTCCTGGGCAGCTGGGATCTTCTCTGAGGAGTCTGCCCCATTCCAGGATGCTCACAGAACAGCAAATAGTAGGGGAATTACTGCACCAACCTCGTGTGGAGTTCCTGACTTAGCAACATAACATGAAAGAGAAAAAAAAAAAATTAAAGCAAGAAATGTGGTGAGAGTCCATAGAAATTGTTTATTGTGTGTTTTTCAAATAAAACATGTCAGAGCAAGGTGATGCAAGCCCTTCATCCTGGCTACTCAGGAAGCTGAGGCAGGAGGATGGTAAATTCAAAGCCAGCTTGGGCAACGCAGGGCCTGTCTCACAATAGCAAAGAGGTCTGTGGAGCATGGCTCAGTGGGAGACCGTTGACAGGATTGCTAGAGCCAAAATGGAAAAGAAATAGAAAACTAAACTTCAATTTAAATACTTATTGAATGTGATGATGTTGCCTGAGAACAAAAATATTTCCTTCTGTTCACACAGGAATATATTTACATATAGAAAAGGACCCATGAAAAACCTTGGCCTCTTTCCTGTTTAAAACACTTGTTGCAAATAGAAGTGAAAGTTTTTCTTTTATTTTTTCCAATTTGTGACAAGGGGATAGAAAACCTACCTTCTGGATGAGAGAATTTGCACTCATTTTAGCATGTGGAGAATAGGGCTTTGTCCACGCGTTTTCTATTTAAATATTTGACTCTCCCTTGTGTTTTCCCAGGCTTTTCCGGGAAACGTCAACTCCGACAGTGTGGTCCGCCACGACCTGCAGCACCCGGTCATCGCCCGCTATGTGCGTGTGGTGCCGCTGGACTGGAGCGCCGAGGGCCGCATCGGGCTGCGGGTGGAGGTCTACGGCTGCGCCTACTGTGAGTGTGTACGGGTTCGAATCCCCTGCCCGGGCTGGGTCATCTGGGTTTAAGTGTCACTAAACAGAGAAAAACTCAACACTCCTTTGCTCTGAAATATATATATTCAATATAAATAATGTGTGTGTGTGTGTGTGTGTGTGTATATATATATATATATATATATATATATATATATATGCTTAATTAACAAGACTTGCTTTCTGTGAAAATTATCTTCTATTTTTGTATGTAAATCACAAGGTTCCTTTCTGCTTTTATGTTATAAATGTACCCTGTAAACACATCACCGAAAAATTCAGCTAAGAATAATTTAAGGATTTAGATAATGAGGATTTTTTAAATTTGGTTTTGTTTGTTTGTTGTGTTTTTTCTTCAGTATATTACAACAAAGCTTATTACATTGCCTAGAATCTTGTGAAATATTTACCAAGAGAAAATCAGCAGTTTCCCACTTTATTTTTCTTTTGCTGCTTGTGATGGGTTTTAGAGTACTTCCTGAAGTATTTTCTTCACTTAGACTCTCTTGAATTAGGCTTCTTCTTGTTTTAAAAGTGAGCCCCTGAGCTGATGCCAGATACATTTTGCAATGCTAAATGATTTATGTGCTTTTGTTCAACCTGTCTAGTTACCTGAAAAGTTTCCTTTCACTTAACCAGGTTTAAACTCCTTTTAACGGTTTTCTTAGATATGCTAAACTTATTTAAAATTTCTTAAATTCTTCATACTGATGTCTGACTACTGAAGTGTATGGATTTGGGCGAGTTCTGATTCTGTGATCTACTTTCTCTGCTTATTTTATTTATTTTTTATTTTTTAGAAAACAAGTAAAATAAACTTCATAGAAGATGGTAGGAGAATAAATATAGTTAATTCATTGCTCATTTACTATCTCTAAAGTAGCTACTTAGAGTACAATATATAGACATAAAAAATTCTCCAATCAATACTAGCACAAACCTTCCCTTTCTATGAACTAGGACACAATCATATTGTACCTGACTTGCAGTTTGACTGGCTTTTCCTTTCCTTCCTTTCCCTTTCCCCCATCTAGTTCCTTTTTCCTTTATAACAATTTCTGCCCATTTCACAATCCCTAACGTACATTTTAGACCTTATTCACTGTTCCAGTTTCTCACACCACAGACACAAGGCAGTGTTTACACATGTGAGTCTGATTGATTTCACTGAGCGTGGTCTCAAGTTGTCTCCATTTACACATAAGTATCTCAAGGTTATCCTTCTTTATGACTGAGTAGTACCTCACTGTATAAAAATACCATATCTTCTTAATTCATTCCTCAGTTGATGTGCATTTAGGGTTAGTTTCAGAATTAACTATTACAGATTATGCTACTATAAACATGAGTGCACATGTATAGCTGTAATATGATGTTTTATTTCTTCTGGGAATACCCAGAAGGGGAGCAGCTGGGTCAAATGGGACCTGTGAGCCTACTTGCTCTGCTCACTGTTGTTTTCAGCAGTGTGCCCCCCCTTATCCAATCACAGTGTGCCCAAGACCTCCTCAGGATGGCCAGAACCACGTGCAATGATGCACTTTATGTATACTATTATTTTTCCTATATGTACACATGTATCTATGAAAAGTTTTAATTTATAAATTAGAGTAAGAATTTACCAATAACATATTAAATACAATAATTACAGTGAAGCACTATATAATAAAGGTGACTTAAAATACACTATTATTATTCTGACTGTAGGCACTGAACACACAAAAAGTAAAAGAGCAGCCCCCCACACCTCCTTCTCCTGCTCTTTTTCTCTTCCTCTTCCTCTCCGTGTCTTTGTCTAACTCCTTGTCTTTCTTCTTTCTCTTCTCACTTTTCTTTTTATGTACTTATATTTTGCCCACTTTCTTCTTCTTAATCATCTTGATTATGATCTTACTTTCTTCAAAACATTATCTGTTGTACTGCTCTAAAAGAGAAATAAAAGCTGATGAAGATTCCTGAAGAGATGATTTCTCTTTTGTTTCTTTTGAGAATGTAGTTTCAACCCAAAATTCCAAGAATATTTCTTTACTTCTTCTTCTTCCTCCTCTTTTTCTTCCTCCTCTTCTTCTTCTTCTTCTTCTTCTTCTTCTTCTTCTTCTTCTTCTTCTTCTTCTTCTTCCCCTTCCCCTTCCCCTTCCCCTTCCCCTTCCCCTTCCCCTTCCCCTTCCCCTTCCCCTCCTCCTCCTCCTCCTCCTCCTTCCTTCTCCTTCTTCCTCCTTTTTTTTGTACCAGAGATTGAACTCACAACCTCATGCTTGCCAGGCAGGCACTTATGTCGCTGAGCTAAATTCCCAGCTATTTCTTCACTTATTTTAAAAATCATTAGATAATATAAATTCAACCTACAAACACATAATTTTCAAACACTAACTTCCTGGTATGAATTCTCCAGGAAAAGATTTTTTTTCTCTTATCCAAGAAATTGTCTTCCTTATTCTTTTGACAGGCCAAGAAGAGAGGAAGTTTGGATATGGAAAGGGAAATTATGATATAAACATTTTGCAAAAAAAAAAAAGTTTTTTCAGTGCTATAAATACAAAAGTTCACTGTAACCATAAATGTAAAAATTCCCTTATTCAAGAAGCTTCTTGAAATTAATGAAACCCTTAATGTTTTGTAATATGGGATACAGCTGCAGAAATGTAGTTGCTTTCTCAGCAAACCTGGGCTTTACAAATCACAAGACAAGGAGAACTAAGTGAAGCACACCGAGAAGCTCCCATTAGCTCTCATTACCTCCAGTCAAAGGGTATCACCATGTAGATATGAATCTGTTCCCTGGGATCTTGCAACAAATTTCCAAAAACTGTGTAGCATGAGACAACAGGAATTTATTCTACAACCACGGAGCACAGAAATCCCAAAGTACAGTGTTTAACAGAGTTGGTTCTTTTGTAATGTTCACAGAGAAAAACTGTTCCATGGCATCAGCCTACCTCATCCCAGACTCTGTCTTTGGTTTATTCTATGCATTTCTATATCTCAGTGGGTTTGTATGGCCTTCTTATGAGAACTTTGAGCATTGCTTTTAGGACCCACCTGAATCCAGCATGATCTCATTTAAACTATGTCTACAGAGACCTAGTTTCTAAATAAGTCCTTATTTTGAGGTTCTGTATAGGGAAGACTGTTGAGGGTAAACTACCCTGTGCAGTGCAATATATATTTATTAAAATTGGTAAGAAGATTTGTACGTACAGTTTACCTGGCACAACAAAAGCAGTTCTGAAAATCAACTCTTGTTCTCTGCTTCAAATTGGACGTCTAATTTTGAAGGATCTAGAAAGATCTCTGAAACTTGTATTTTTGTGTCCAAGGTTTCTTCAATATAATCAGTGAACTATTACTTAGAGTTTGCTATATGCAGGCATTTGGAAATATTTTAAACCATTGTCCTTGGTCTCTAGTAGTTTAAATTTTGGAAGTAAGGATGAACAAATAAATAGGTACAAAACTGTATAAAAAATGTTACCACAGAGGTAAAGAAAACTTTACCAATGTTGGTAATGGCTTAAGGTATCACCTATTTTAAAAAATGACAAAATTTAGGACAAAGGAACATTCCATATAAGTAACAAAATTTGAAAAACCACAAATACTTAGAGGTGAAGCGTAATTTAGTCCATAATAGGAGATATTTTGTCGTGTGTATGTGTAAATTTGGTTGAAATGAAAGATTTAATATTTCTTGGAGGATTCGCATATTTATTTGTGACACAGATGCATCAATTTGATTAAATAACTTTAATTCTCATATTTGTAAAGCAATTTGCTAATTTTAACCAAAGCGCAAGTCAGATCATATCCCAACTGTGTTAAAATATTTTAATAATGTTACGTTGATTTGAGAATCCAAACTGCTAGTTTGAAATACATTTCCTCAACCCCATCGATTACATCTGCAGTTTATGTTCTACTAATAAGAAATTTTCATATTTCAAAATACATAAAGGAGCAACTGGTTTAATGTGGGATCACCCAAGATGTTCTCTGATGACAGTAACTGCTCCTTCATCTCACACTAGATCAATTATTTTATATTTTCTGAGATTCATCTAAGATGCAATCTTCAGTAGGATTATTTCTTCGAATTTCTAAAATAAATTACATCATTCTCTTTTCTCTTTACTACCATTATGTTATGCGAATATTTCCAATGACTCATTTATTAAAATAGCCCAAAAGCAAGTAGACCATGAAGTTTGGTGGAGTGGAGGCACACATTGTCAATGGGTTCATTGTTGACCTTTGTTAATTGGGAGACATCCTCTAATGCTTGCAAGTAGTGAACACATATCAACTGCAAATGAAGGAGATGTAATCTATTCACTTAATGGGAAAAAGTTAGTATTTAAGGCTATATGTAATATTGTATCAGTTGATCAGAGTGTAATTATAGTGCATGTTATTGAGTAGTACTCTGTGAGAACATTAAAAATATTGAAGTGATTTCCAATCTGAACATAATAACTGTTGTCATAGAACTAGATAAAGAAATCAACTCAGTGTTTCTCTACTTTAAATGTTTTTAGGCCTTGCATTATTTTCCATTCAGATTAATTTAAACCACAATTTCATGAGGTTTCTTAATGTGTTACATATATAAATTGTTTATTATCAGAGGAAAATTATATGATTCATTAATTTTGGCTATCTAGAATAAATTGAAAATCAAAGTAAATCATAATAAAAATGATTTCATAGCTACCAATGCCAAGTTTCAAAAGATAAATGAGTAATTACAATTGTATACTAGTACAATTTGTATGCAAGATATGCCGTGCGTTTAAACTTGCACATAATGAGATTTAAAAAATTTAGTATATCATACCAGAAAATTACAAGAGAAAAAATGAAATGGATGTTGCTGTTAAAAGAATGAAACTTAGATTCAAGAAATGTTGTGTTCTTTAATTCTTATAAAAGCAGTTTTTATTACAAACAAGAATAGGAATACTTGGTAATGAAGAACCTTTTATT